ATTGCGATCTCAATAATAAAAAGTTCTCTTATTAGTACGCGTTTTCTTTTTAAGACGTCGACTGGCAGTTATTTCTCCACCATTTATTGCTTTCAACTGGGCCATTAAAAATATATCTTGTTCGGATCTAGAAAGGGCTTGAAATGCCTCACATAATTCGGCAAACTTTTCTCTCGGAATCATTTTCGAACAACCACAATTGCAACCTATCTCTAAGAAACGTATGGCTTTTTCGTATTCAGTTGAACCATTATAATTATAATTTTCCGTATACGGGTATTCCTATATATTTATTTTATCAAGTTAACAATAAACTCTCAAAAAGAAGGTGGCCGTTATCAGGGTTGTTTTGTACATATGCAACATGCCCTTGATACGTTACGATTTATTGATTTCTCGCATTACACTTGGCTCACAAGATTCCCACATATTTACTATAATTGAACATGCATTACAATCCAGCATATTATATACAAACCCAACCATCAATCATTTTAGCACTTCATCATCATAGTCTAAAGCGCACTATATCAAATAGTGGGGATTCACGAAAGGTACCAAATAACATTACAGATGCGAATATAGTTTGAAGAGACAACCTTCAGCACATTTTTCAAGAGACATTTCTATGAATATTATTGCTAATAAATAACCCGACAACAAAGTATTTCCGGATTATTTAATTCTTTCTAACCTTTGAATTGCTATTTTAATCTACGTGCAAATGTCAGAAGTAGCTGAAGTAATGCAAAAACTAAAATGCTTCCATAATTAACGATGTTACTGAGAGCGTTCAGGTTTAACATTTAACACTAAATATTGGCTTTAAAGCCTAATTGTGAGACCATAAATTGGTCGTGTTCCTTTAGAATTGGTCCTAGAGCCCGAGCACTATCATGACGAATGATGGCAGGATTAATTGATATGGGATATTTGACTTGCCCATGCTCACCAGCCCAGTCCCAGTCAACAAAACGAACAGTCGGCAAAGATGCTGTGTTCAGATAATGGATCAAAATGTTAGCACTGCGGAGATCACCATGCACGTATCCAGCGAGCGGAATGTAACTGCTCCGTCGCATTCTTTATCGTATCCATGATAAGATTGTTCGGCGTACATTCAGCCAATGTCTGGAAGTCACTCAAATATTCCATGACAATCATGTACCAATTGCCAGGTAACGCGTATGTCCATAAATCTCAGGAGCGATATATAGTTTTGCGCAATGTTGGTGGAGAGAAACAGGGTACCGTTGTGTAAACTTAACGACAAGTTTTTGGGGGAAATTCTGTGGATTTTCAAGTGTATCGACAACAAAAACTAGTGGACCCAAAGCAGAATGATATTTAAATCGGATTTCCTTGTTATCATCCATCCGAACAGAGTTGGGGTAAGGGAACTCTCTCTGACTTGCTGGTATTGTTGCAGTAATACGATAGCTTTCTTAAGGGCGCAGAAAATACGCGCAAAATCCTCGAAACGACTGTGTGGACAGGCAAGAGAAAGGGATTAGGAACATTCTAGATAGTCAATAGCTGTTCTGCGTGTTTGGAAATAATAACATAAGCCAAACAAAAATGCTTGCATGTTTACGAAAAGGAGAGCGACTGGAGGAACACAGAATTAAAAGGACTTTCTTTAGGTTGTTTTGGTTTGTTTGTGTGTTTAAAAGATTTATACATTAGCAGACGATATAATAATGCTATATTAAGATTTGAACAAGTCGCTTTATTAAAATATTCGAGTCTAGCCTAATAATCGCGATATCCGCTTCTCGCCCCACCAGACTACGAGAAGCCATTTCTCATTCCTAAACATAATTAAATTTGAAGAAACTGAGCAACAAAAAGTATGGTGTAAAGCAAAATAAATATAAACAAAACCTTCTTTAGGGATCTTAAAGTTGCTTCATTGTCGTCAGGTAGAAATTATTTTACTTGTGAAATGTTTCATTAAAGAATTGATTGTTGCAAGTCATGTATAGAATGTAAGGATCAGGATTGTCATTTGCCTTATTCATATAGTAATAGGAGAGTTTTAAAAAAAAGAAGCCAAACTGTTTTTATTGTCCTTAAACGAAATGTGAAATTTATATACAAACAAAAAATGAATACATTCCAAAGAGAGATGTACTTGAATAAAAAAACAACCTTCGACTGCATTTTCGAATACGCTCAAGACAGTCAACTTTAGCACAACCAGATATCGTAAAGTTTAGCTTGTATTATCTGCGAAAGTTCATTACTAATAAATTCACATACTTTTAACTCCAGAGATCAAGATTAGCGAGCGACACTAATAAAAATTCACGAAAAGCACAAATAAACAACATTAACTTAATGACGTGATGGTCTGTGAAACAGGGTCTGCTGCATTATTATCCAGCAATGACGTGGCAACAAGCTATTGTGTCACTTGCTATTTTTATTGAAGTTTTCGCCTTAGTACAATTCCGCATACTACACTGTTGGCACGAAACAATATCAACCTAATAAGCATCGGTCTCCTGTGTATAGACTTTAGATGATGATAACCAATAATAATTCGTTAATCTTCCCCGAGTCCGACTTTGTAAAATGAAAGGCCCGACTCTTTTTTCAAACAGAAGTTTGAATTGGCCAACCGAGAGCCCGAAAGCGAACTACTTCTCCCCAGTAGAGCTTCCCGTCTTTTTCTCCGATGCTTTCTATAAAAAAAAAGTTGGAAAGATTGTCAATTGAGAAACATCTTTGCGGATGACTTCCGATTAGCCACATACCTGTTGTTTCTGCCTCATTATTTCTGCATCGCTGTTAAAAATGAGAAGCAAACAAAGCAGGGAGATGAAGAATGTTAGAATTGAGTTTGAAAGGTGTCAATTGCGAACAAATACTCGTCTTTCCAGTTTCCTAGTTTCAAATTACTCTAAAGACTTAATTAGATTCCGCGAGAACGGAATGCTATTAGTCACGTAAATAAGATAAAGCCTCCAGTTTCTACTTCTGTCGTTACGTGTATTTCATATTAAAGGTTTTTTCCATCGCTTGTACTTTTAAAAAGCTGTCACTACTTTTTTGATGAAATGGTTTCCAATACTTGATAATACGCAAACAACAAACGAGTAATACCTTTCGGCACGCTTCTTGAAGCTCACACCGTCCTCTTTCTTAGCAGCCTTTGCTGCTTTATTATTTTTCTTCAGGTTCTTTTCGCGAGCCTTTTCTCTTTGATTGCCACCTTGATATAACAGCAACATTTTAGGAGACGCTATTACAAATAGAGAGACAATTTGTTGCATTCTGTAACTTACGAGCCATATGGAAGTATGTATATGGTTTTAGAAAGTGAGGTCAACGGCAAGAAGAAAACAAGTATTGGTGCAGACTTGTAGGAAACCAGATGGTGGGGAGAGGAGATGCAAGAATAACGCTCTCAAATAATGAAATTCCGGACTGGTAACAATCATCTGGCTGCTGATTGATTAAAATGCTTACACCAAAACATTAAAAAAAGCAAAAGGTTAAACCATCGTCTAACCAACACAGTCTTGGTTTTCCATAACATGTATGATCCCTCAAATCCATACGAGTCTGATACTCAGCATACCGTCGTGAGAGAACTCGAGGTTAGTATTTTCAAGTGATCTCAAGTGACGAAAGGAAACAGAAGTGATACATATAACATTCTATCATTCAAGAATCAGCTTTAAAGCGATAAAAAAACCCATATTACCATCAAGCCTCTTTCTTTCTCTCTCTCTCTCTTTATCAATTCTCCTTTCCCCCCCCCCTCCTCCTCCCCTCCCCTCTTTTTCTTTTTCGCTCTTCTCCACTTTTGTCTACGGTATCTTTGCCTCCATTTCCGCGTTTCTCGCGTTTCTCTCCTATACTGCCCTACGCTTGTTCCTCCTCTGTCTATTGTCGCTCTTAATCACACAAGGTTATTCAAACCGAAGAACTCATATCAGATCCGATTGATGAGGAAGAGAAGGAATTTCGTCTTCCACGCGGACATGTTCCAACCGGATATGTGGATACTTCGAGCATAAAGCAAGCGAGCATGGATGTGCATCTACCAGAGAGTAACATTGGTTATCAATTGTTGCTAAAAATGGGTTGGAAGGTCGGAGCAGGGCTTGGTGTTTCGCAGCAAGGTTGGTAGGAATAGAAGGCTTGCTTATTGCGCCATGGATGTTGCGTGTTGCGTGAGCGAAAAGAAAGAAAAAGCTTGTAGAGATAGTAATACGTTTGTAGTCTGTGAAGCGAGTTGTAGTAAAAAGATGTAGCTGATGAATGATGTCACTGTCCGTCTGGTTTTATATTCAGGGAGAAAGGATCCAATCCGCATTGAAATCAAAGCAGACAGTTTGGGAGTCGGTAAACAAGAAGAGGAAGATTATTATCACATTACCTCTACTTCCAGGCGCAAGGCATTAGATAGCGAAAAGTTTGCTGAAGAAACCGAGGAAGAGCGCAAGAGACGAGAGGTGCTGAAATCTTGGTTTTTGATACATTGGTCTCGAGAGCATTTATTAACTTGCTTTCTTCATCTCAAATCTTTTCAGGATAAGGTTCAAAAGCAAGAGACACTCAAGAAAGAATTGAATACAATAAAAGCAGCTTTCTATTGTGCATTATGCGATAAGCAATACAACAGGATATCTGAATACGAAGTGCATCTGAGTTCTTACGATCACAATCACCGTAAGGTTAATCGAGTGTTTATTATATTACTCCCGCTTATTTTTGCATAATATTCTTCAAGTCACTAACCGCCTGCCACCGGCTTACTATAGCGTTTCAAGGAGATGAAAGAAATCAACCGCTTGCCTCCAAAATCAGACAAGAAACGCGAGAAGGAAAGAAAGAGAGAGGAACGAGAACTAGCAAGAATGCAGAAAGCAGCATTGGAGAAAGCGGGGATTCAAAAATCAAGTAGCGGCGAATCTGAAAAGTCTTCTATAGGGATGAAGAGCGGACAGAATGATGAAATATCAGGAAATAAGGGTGGATGGACTACGGCAGAGACGAGCGCTAAATCTGGTACCAAGGGCGGATGGACTGCAGCTACAACCTTCGAGTCTGATAACAAGCAAGGATGGATGACTGTAAATGCTACAGATCCCGATATAAAGGGCGGGTGGACGACTGCTAATTCCAATGTAGTTGCATCTGGCCCACCCACCAAGGAACGACTGGCAGAGAACAAATCCAACTCTCCATCCACTCAACCAGTTTCAGATTCGAGTTCAAGATTGACTTTTGGAATTAACCGAGTATCAACGACCAATTCCTCTGCAGAGCAAAGCGAGGTAAAACAATGTGTCAGGGAGGGGTGTTGATTAGAAGTGTGAATGCCCGGGTGGATGCCGGGTGAATGCCCGGTGATAATATAAATGATGATATTCGAAATTGCTAAAACTTTTCTTTTCTGATTTTTTTACAGAGACCCACATTAAAGTTTGGCTTACAAAGGCGAAGATAAGGGTGATACTATTAATTTATGAAATATTCATTTGCGGAATCATCATGATCTATTACTCGCTTTTTTATTCTTTTGTATTATCCTTAATATGAAAATACCGTGGATTGCCTATAGATTGTAGGTTAGGATTTACCTTACCATGAACAAAGAAAATAATAAAACAAAAATAAAACGTCTTTGGTAATGAGTGAAGGTGGCAATGCAAATGTCATTTGCGATGATCCATCGGATGACAATACTGTTTTAGTTTCATTGAGATCTACCCATTTTTATTAAGAATTTTCGTTCTCTTTGAGCATTTCATATTGAAATTCTTTCTTCCTGGTAAAAAATTCTACCGCGAACCATACTGCTTGGAGAAAAGATACGCATGAAAATTGTAATAGATGATCATGATCGTTGTACCTGTTATGTTGTAGTAAGGATAAATAGCCATATGGACGGCGAGGGGGGTAAAGGGAATATCTTGCAGAATTAACGAGCTTTCCACATGATTTTGTAGTAATTATGATCGGGAATTTTCGTACGAATCGATCTAACGGGGTGCAAGAATTCGTGATTCTTCACATCATTCCCTCACCCTTCACTTTAACCTTTTCTCTCTCACGCGTCGTGTAATGTGAGCCCTTTCACTCATCCTTGCACAACGCTTCATACTAACCCTCAGATAGACTCCATGTTTACCTTGTGAGACGGTGCATTGTCTACACGTGTGCGTTTTAGAGTCAGAACGCAGGTTTTACTGTGTATGTGATACGTGAATTAGGGTAATTACTACTAGTCTGTGCAGGAAAAGGTTGGGTAATGGATGTGCAGAGTTTCAAAAAACACAACAGTTTACTACATTGTAATAAATTCGAGATTGATTTTCTGGCCGTGTGTGGTGGGTGATGGGTGTGTGTGAATGCGCCTTGTTGAAAAAAATTCCCTCCTCCCCACCTCCCCAACTCTACGCACTTGGCGTATCATGATCATGATCATGACCGAGCTCAGCCCCAATAAAAATGGACTGGACCTGCTTGAGCAATTTTATCTAATGATCAAAATTCGATCTTTTTTTTTCTCTCCATAATGACTAATATATTAATAAAAACCTGCTCGTCAACTCTACGTATTTATGCCCCGAACCAGTATCATCCAATGATATAAGACAATCTATCTATATCTCATTAAATATAATCATATTAGTGCAGATTAGGAAGATCGATGATATCAATGAGAGAATAGGAAGAATCGTAAGAAAAAAAAATACCGGCTACAGTACCCGCAAAATACCGGTTGAACTGACCAGTTTACGTGTGAAAGTGGATTACGAGATTGAAAATTGGTTGGCTGGACCTGTTTGAATTGGAGTGCGGCTCAGCCATGTTCGGCGATTGAACATGCTGATTGAAATATCAGCCATTATGCACGTAAACAAAGAGTCGTAGTGATAATAGCGATGCCCAATTGTTATGAATGCACCTTGTGATTATTATAATAAACATATTTTCCTTTGTTTTCCTTTATCATTCATTCTTTAGCATTTTTATTTGGGTTTAAGCATTCACTGCAATTCCCCTCATTTTTCATTTTACTTTCCTTTTTCATTATACTTTTTTTACATACCAGCAGCAGCAGCAGCAGCAAGCAGTTAGCTCTCATCCACACTACTCCACCACCACCACCACCAGCAGCAGCAGCAGCAAGCAGTTACCTCTCATACACACTACTCCTCCACCACCACCACCACCACCACCATCACCAGCAGCAGCACCATTTCCTCCTCCTTTCCCTTATCCACTCCTCCATCACCACTCTTCACTAGTAATTAAGACTGTTTCACCTTTGAATTAAGTAAATAACTCAAATTACTAATTATAATGAACAGAAAAAGATAACAATAAACTCGACCCAGTAATTTGTCTAATTTGGCAGCGAATGGATAGTTGTGTTATCCATCATAAATTCTCCAGAGAGAGTAGAACAATAGTTAGTGATACGGTGAGAAGATAAGACATGAGAAGGGGTTGGTGGTTGATCGATAAATAAATAACCAAAAAGGATATATGACTTGGAAATCCTAAATTGCGACTACATTTCCGTAGTATTATTACAGCTGCTGTGTTGTGTTTGTATTTTGTTGACATTTCACAGAATTAAAGTTAACGGGGTTTGCTTGAGGTACAAAGGTTACTGTGTCAAAACGTTTAATGGAGTCACAAGATATAATTAATTTAAATTGGTGTTAGTATCATCGTTTGTCGTCATAGTCCCGTCGTTTGTTGTTGTCATGTCTCTATCTCTCTAATCTCTTCCCCCATTACCATCACCATCACCATCACCATCACCATCCCCACCCCCCTGCTCCCATCGTGTGTGCATGCATGTATGCTATTATTATCTCACTTGGAGCTATTGCATGTTATTTCGCCTGTTCTAATTGCCGAAATTTTGGGAATATCAATTCGCATATGCTCACACAGTTAAATGCAGTGTTACTGGTATAATAATTATCAATTGAGTTTAAATGATTTACCCGTTTCGGTTCACTCGTATTCGTTCAGCAATTCATATGGAAAGCATTCATTCATTCATTCATTCATTCACTCATTCATTTATTTTTTTTTCGCCTATGCAACATATCGTCATTGTCTTGTCGGCACATTGAATCAATGGCCTGTTACAAAGGTAGTAAATTGATCTCATACATTGAACACAAATATGGAACCAAACCTTTGATCTTCTGCGACGTTGCAACGTTTTGTGTGCCAAGTAATAAACTATGTAGTAAAAGCGCACAATGTGACATTAAATTATATTTACCCGAATATGGCATGCATTTGTTCAGCGATCACCCGCTACAAAATATTAAGGAACAGTTTGTCGTAAACATACAGTAATATACACACGCACACACGCACACATGTTCTCCTCAGAGAAGGACAGTTACAAGTACTTGGTAATACGGTCTCAGTCGCGCGTCAGCCAAATGAAAAAGACATTGACAATATAATGCAATGCTTGATGGATGTAATTTCAGACGAACCAATGGATATTTTAAAACAAGGAGATGAATGATTCCCTCCCCTTCACCCATTCAGAGCATGCTAAATCGATATTGGTATAGCCCAATTATTTTGTACCACAGGCGCACGAATATTGTTGGCTTGGAGATATGTAAGATGAGAAAAAAAAAAAAAAGAGAAAAAAAAAAGAAAAAGAAAAAGAGTCGACAGAAACAGCAGATGATTTGTAAGCAATACAAAATAGGATTATTATTGAATGGGTAAGAGACGGTATTCGGGGCGACAGCTAAAATTGGGGCTATTGTACTTGAAAAAGACTAGTTGTTGACGACGGTTAGTAATTGATTAGGCATACGCACTCTCACACATAGCACGCACACATAGCACGCCATATCCGTTCTACACTCGTACTATAGTCTAATTAACCATCGTGAGTACAAGGGTGGATCAGTTGTCATTGTTTTAAAAGATGAGTGGCACAAGTTCAGTTATAACTGATACGAATATTATCGATATTGTCGCAATTAACAGACAGACATCTCAGCCCCGCTCACCCCAGCTCTCCCCCAGCTCTCCCCCCAGCTCTCCCCCCAGCTCTCTCTCTTCCCCCCCATTTCCCATTCCCCGTTCCTTGTTCCCCGTCCAAACAGGTTTTACTGGATGATGGCGAAATAGTTTGTAGTAATACTTAATGATTATTATAGTTAAGAGATATGGGGGTACAGCGATTTCCCTTTATTGATTTCTATTAATAATGTAGTACCACCATTGAAATCCGATAAAATTATTAATTACCAAGACAGCAGATTACTTGTGCTCAGTTATCACAGTTGTGCTCTTTCGGTCAGAAGCAGTAGATAGGTACTACTACTACCATGTCGATACTTGATGTAGAACAACAGTGTATGTTGGGTGATTTTCTACGCTTACTCTTTAGAAGATCGTTTGCGTTACAAGATGTAGGGCGGAGAGGGGAAAATGGGCGGGAAGAAGTGCGACACAAACGTTCAACAACAATACGAGTAAAAACATCAAATAATGTACACAAGATTACTTTATGGCAACACATTGTTATTGCAGTTATCTTTTGTAAAAAACCGGTTATCTTTAAATTTATCTCTGCATATAATATTCCCACATTCGACGATATACAGGGGGTTGGAGGGGTTGGAGGGGGAATTTTCAAATAGGAACGACAGTTGTTATATTACTACTGCCAGCTATGCCATCTATTTGGTTCTTTTGTAACATGAACTTCCATTGAACAGACAGCAAGTTGTGAACATTGTGTTTCCTTGACTTGCCGCTGTTTTTGTGGTATAGTGCTCTACTCCGTTTTTAGATGATAGATGGATTACACATACACAAGACAAGACATAACACACATAACACAACGCAGAGCACACACAAGACACACACAAGCACACAAGCACACAAGACACATAACGCAACACAAGGCACACAATCGTAATAAAATATTATAATTAGGTTATACGGATAAACGTAATGCACATTTATGTACCGTATATAAATACAGTATATTTAATATTGTTATTATCACATATCAACATTGTGTATCTGCTTGTGTATCGCAATCCCTATATCACTTGCCAACCAACGCTTTTAATTAATATTTGCCTTAATCGTATCAATTGGTGACGGAATATGCATGAGAATTCGAACACAAGGCATACCATGTAAAATTATACGTAATTGATATGCAAGGAAATTTGTATCAATGTATGCGTGTATGTATATATGTCCATAGAAAAGGCAATGTGGAGCTTAGGTGATGATTAATCAGTGATTCAGCTGATAATAATTAATGGTGGGGAAGGATCTGGACCATGTTCAGATCTACATGATACTGAAGAGGGCTCTCATTCGAAGAGCTATTTTTACAAACGATTGTTCTCGATCGACTGTATATTCAGCGTCACTGGCGATATAGTCAATCAACACTTTTTTCACTTCACCTCTCCCAGCTGTCATTTCCCCCTTCTCGATTAACTTAACCGGGAAATTTATCAGTCTTACAAACCATCACGCTAATGCGTATATCATATGAGAGCAGAAGATTCACCAGAACACAGGCGACGCACATCACACACACACACACACGCATTTACACACATACACATACAAAAATATATACGTTCACACACACGATCCTTTGTTGTAACTTTCAACAATGACCCGTTACAAACTCGTCAAAGCACAGGCGGAGAATACAGATGATGTGCAATGATGGGGGAGGGGTAGGCGAGTAGGCGAGTAGGCGAGTAGGCGGGTAGACAGTAGATGCCAGTGGATGCCAGTGGATGTGAATGGATATATAGATGGATGTGAATGAATGGGTGAATGAATGGGGTCATGAAAGGGACCCGTAGTAGATGGATAATATGGATGGATACATGCCCTCGTATGAATATGGGAATATTGATAATAACTGATAAAATATAATACTTTTGTAATATAATAAATAATATTGTTATCATTGTTAACAATTTATATTGTTGTATAAATATAATTGTATCTTGTGATTATATCTATTCGATCTTGATAATATTTGTATTATTCAAGCATTTGTGTAACACCATTACTCGTTGTTTCCGTTGTTTCCGTTTGTTCTGCATTTTACGATTATCGTAGAGTCAGTCAGCAGATGTAAATATTTTTACCAACCATCTAATACACAGTATTGGTATTTTTGCGGGTGAGAATTGCAGATGTATTTGATAAATATCATTGTCGATCTATGGCAGAAATCAAAGCCTCCTTTCCACCCCCCTGTTAAACATCATCTGATATGGTACATTGCAGTGCAGCACATGCAGAAAGAAATTCGTAAAAATTGTGTGATGAACAGAAATATGCTCGCAACACAAAGAGTGAAGGGGCGAGTAAGTATTTGCTGCGTATTTGCTACACATCTATACACATGTAACAGTTGTTACAGTTGTTACAGTTGTTACAGTTGTAACAATTGTAACAATCGTAACAATCGTAACAGCCCGCTTCTCTAATTATGTCAAAACATGCCAGTGCCATACAACAAATATAACGGTATTCGCGCAGTAACAACAAAGTGAGACTTTCCTATAACGGCGCCATTGACAGCCCTGTCTCTTGTCATGCGACCATAAATCAAGCTCTGACACCAACTCTCTCCTTAACTCTATAATATCAAACATTTAACGTCTTCCCACCCTCTTCACAGACTGGATTCCATTCGTCAATGTTGGCTGCATCCATTTAGACATACAAAGAAAGAGGTGCCGCACAAAGTCTTGTTTTGGCAAGTCTGACGACAATAGATGTACGATTGGCATAATGTATTTATATATACAGTATATACAGTATATACGATTGTACATCGATAAATCAAATACCATATGTGTTACATATAAATGTATATTCTCTCTTTTGTTGTACTATACTATATATAACATCAATACTATAATTTGCATTATCTAACTTTTTATAATTCATGTAACAGGCAATTGGTGCAGGTAATGTAAGATCATAACTGATAAACAACAACAACAACAACAACAACAACAACAAACAATAGCAAAAAGAGAAAAAAAAATACAGGAAAAGCAAAAGCAAAGAAAAAAAAGGAAGAAGAAGAAGCAAAAGCATCATTGGGGCGGGATAACAGCTGATAGGGAATTGAATAAGATGAATGAAATGAATGAAATGAATAAAATGAATAAAATGAATAAAATGGATAAAATGGATAAAATGAGTTTACTATTATGATTATTACAATTACTTGTTGGCTTTATCAATCAGTTACTTAACTGCCCAATCTGTTAATTTTTATACAATGCATAATCTTTTATACCATACTACTCCTGATATCGATAACGCATTGCGGACCGGTAGCAAAACTTGTTTACGACACACAATAATTCATTCACAATATTACGCATAACGGAATAACTTTTTCAATATGTTATATGTCTTATGCGCCATCTCATCCTTGTCCAGCGTCCGTTCGTCCATCTGTGTCCGCCCATTCTCTCACCAAATTCCAAAAATAAAGGAGAATGCCAGCTGTAGGATGTAGGATGAGAACTTATGTCATCAACCCGCATATTAGCCAAGCACAGAAGTTCTCGTGGGCTGGAATGCGCAACCAACAATATGAAAGATATTCTTTTGAAATGGACGATACAATCGTAATATAAATTAGTATTGTGTATGATGCTTTTTCTCTGTCGGTTCCGCGAAAACGCCCGATTGTTTAAAGTGCAAAAAGGTGACAAAAAAGTCGCTAACTAGATCGGGTATAGGGTTACATTTCTGTGTAATATGACAAAGTTACAAACGTAAAACGTAGATGGTAGGTAGGTAAGGCAGACGGATAGGTGGGTGGGTGGTAGAAAGAACGGTATCACAAGACGTGTATGTATCCATGCATTGAAACTTGGACATAAGATGGGGGTTAGAGAAATCTAGTACATCTAGAATTCTAGTATATCGAGTATATCGAGTATATCGAGCATATCGAGCATATCGATTATCTCATATGCAGATGTTTGCGGACGGCAGATAGGGGAACAAGTAAATAACTGGTTTAGGATATATTATTCCAAATTTGAAGCGAGAGATAAAACGAATGCATCATTTCTACTGCGCAAGTTCATCGACAACAATGAGAACAACTGACAAGTGTATTGCATCCCCCCCCCCCTTTTTTTTCCTTTTTCCTTTCCTCCCTTTCCTCCAGTCCAATCGCACATCAAAAATTAAGCTACGTAACAACAAAAGTTAAATATAGATAACTTGGTGTAATAATACTACTTTGGTAAGATTGAAATATTTAGAGAAATAAGAATATACGCCGATGCAGACACAAAAGCTAATGTCAGTATGTTCGACAATACACACACACACTCACACTCACACTCGCACACACTCGCACTCGCACCACCCAAATTATTCATTGTCTACGATTTTCAATTTAATTTAACTTTAATTTTTTTCCATCTTTCTCTATCTCTATATTCCATCTCTCTCTCCCCTCTCTCCTCTCTCTTTTTTTTTTTTTTTTCTTTCATAAATTTCCCCCTTTTCTTCCGCATCGTCTCCGTTTCCGCCCGGATATTTCCGAGTTGGCGACCATATATGGTTGACTTGATTACTTTTTGTTTCACTATTGCTAATTGTTAATCTACTGCATTTTGTTTGATAAGCAACTGGTTCGTTTATTATAAGAAATTTAAACAATCTAAATACATACATCTGTTCGCTATTGTGTGACCATTTGTTTGACGATTCATAACTTTATAATAATTAACTTCTAGAACTTTGGGTAGTGTTTGTAACATCAAATGAAAAGGATAATGAGCGGGTAGCAGTAGTTATCAAGCTTAGTTTGCTCTGTTTAGCGCTAATTTGAGATAATTAATGAGAATGTAGGCGAATTATAAATACTCGACGAATTTGTCAGTAACCGATCGCAATCAAGAACCATATTAAATTAATTACAATTATAAATTGAGAGTATTGGATGGAGACATAACAGGAAAGGGGGGTAAATAACAAATAGCAGCATAAGATATAGTAATCAAAGGCGCCACTGGAATTGAAATCGAATCGAATTAACTTGTTTGTTGTTATCTTTATTTATTGTTATCCCGAGACATTGTAATGCATTTATGCTCATGTAGAAAAAACCTGCGTCGGTTGTTGGAGAGGGGAAGGGAGGGGTGAAGGAAAGGGTAGTTGACGATTGGATGAGAACAATCGAGTATTTTGGTAATACCAGTTCAATGACACTTACTGGGATATCAATATACGAAGAACGGATGATTGGCCACTAAAAAGAATAAAGGAATATTAGAATCAACATTACACAAAATGAATGCTTTTTAAAAATACCCCTCCATAAAAACTATGCAACGGTTAATAATAACAATGTTAGTATACAAGAATTACGAATTGTATGTATAACCGAATGGGACTATATAACTGCTGGGATATACAACTACTGGGATATACAACTGATGGGATATACAACTGCTGGGATATACAACTGATGGGATATACAACTACTGGGATATACAACTGCTACAACTGATGGGATATATAACTGAATAATTTATATAACCGATATTATAACCGATATTATAACCGCTATAATAACAATAATTATTATTTATTATTAGTATTATTAGTATTAGTATTATCTATTCATAATTTAATTAATTTCATACGCCGATTAAATATACGGTTATATTGATAATAGTTGTCAGTGTCACCATTCCTGAACAGGCAAGTAGAAGTACAAAGGTGACATACAACTCTTTCTTCTAAAACTGGTTTGTTGGGGGACCTCATACGTCTGGCCAGTTAAAACGTCGTTCTAGATGATTGGTGGATTTTAATATTCTCAATTTGCAAATCAAGCTCAGAACAGGTATCTTGCGTGGCACAAGGACATGGGCTCGCCAACTGCAATATAAGAATCAAAATATATTATGTTTACAGTAACTTAATATAATTTATGTATATCCTGCTTTTTATCCCGGCCATGCTCATAAAAATACAAAGCGTCCCCCTCATTGAGCAAAAAAAGTGAGAGTAACATTGAACACGTCTTTCTCGACAAGCCGACAAAAAGACTATAGGCAAAACTAACGTGAGTTACTAAATATTCTACAATCCCTCTTTCCTTTTACCCTGGGATAATATCGAATACAGAGTATGCTGTGATATACATTACATTACAATACAATATTACTACTATTACTATTATTACTACTTTACTACTACTACCACCACTGCTACCGCCACTACCAACTACCAACTACCAATACCCATACCCGACACTACACTACTTTACTACTACCACACTACTACTTTCAATTTATCCGCACACCCCCCTCCCCCATATCCTAATTTCGTAATAATATAAGAACCATCAAAAACGTAAAAAAAAAATCACGCCTTTTTCCGTTTTCAAAACCTTACCCTTCTTCTTCTACTATCCCGTCTTGTCTTATATCTCGCTAACCTCGACTCCTTTGCACCGTTGAAAAACTACACAGAGGCATTGGCCTTGGTATGAGCATTTCTGAAGAAAAGTGGAGCGTACACCAACACCAACCTTCTACTCAACATCCCCACTCTCAAATGAACACTACAATGTCCAACGAAAATAACTTCATGCCTACTTACCCGTACGAAACAACTTCACAACAACAGATGCACCAACAACAAATGTAAGCATAAACTCTACTAACCTGAACACAACCCAACAATATCTTCAACGAGCATAGTAAACGCGTTTTTGTGTTCCTTACAAAACTGGTTTACCATATGCAAGTGTGCTCTCGTTTGCGCGCGTGTTACATTACACATAATATGACCTAGTATTCCCACTTTTTTTTTATTTTTTGGTCCCAACTTCTTTTTACACTCTTGTACCTCTCTGCCTTGGACCACAACCCATCTCACATTACACTATTGCGTCCTTAGGCCTGTCCACGAAGGTAACCACATGTACCTGCCTCCTAAACAAGAAATGGATGCAGCACCTCGTCAATCGCAATTCCAAGGGTTAGTATTTTCTCTATTATGCTTCTCTTTTTTCTTCCTCTCGAATGTTATATATAGCCGCCTTTTTGTGCTGCCCCGTTTCGTTCGTCAACACAACGACAAACTACAACAAGGGCACAATTATATCCACCACACTGGTAAACAACTACTACCCACTACCACCCCCCCACTCTAGTATACAACTGTTGTCTTTCTGTTTAGCCACCCTTCCCCCCTTCTCCCTTCCCTCTTCCCTCTTCCCTCTTCCCTCTTCTCTTTTCACTTGCCTGCTCGCACCATCTCTGATACAACAATGCTCATCTCTTTTTTTTTTCCCCTCTTCTTCACAACAGCGGTTTCGTCTCTATGTCAACTCCCAATACCCCAAACGCTTCACGTCAAACGAACGGTTCTCCGAGTGCTCAGTCAACTCCTGGCGCTCCCTCTCAAGACCGTAAAGTAATTGATAACCGACCTGCCTTTACGTCTTTCCATACCTCCTTCCAAGGTGGCGCGGTCAGAAAGAGAAGAGCCGACGTTCTCGGTTTCCCCGTTGATGGAAGCCCCTTCTTTTCCCAAACAAAGCAACACAATAATGTTTACAGCATGGACAGGACTACAAGGTATATATTTTTCCCGTTATGGTAGAGCATTGAATACGACCATACACAAACTCTAATTACTCATCCGCTCTTTTTCTTTCCACTAGTTACAAACTCACGATCAAGTCAAAGGTCGACCGTGGATTCTTCTTGGCCGATAACGATTGGACCTGCTATCGAAGAAATTATTTCCAAATAAGCAGTGCCTTTACCATTACTACTTCGACCGGCCATACAGTCAACGAGGCAGAGACGCCATGTCTAGTAGAAGTCGACAACCAATTCCATACTTGCACCCAATTCCTTCTTGGTATCACAGCTCGCGTGTCCAACAGTGACAAGAAAATCGAACTGGTCCAACACACTCCCAAGCGTGACAAGGGCCCCCAGAGCGTTCCCACTCCCAAACCAATTCGTCCAGGCGGTAACCTCAGTCTCAGCTCCGTCGGTTCCAATTCGAATATCGTCACTTTTGAGCGTATTCAGTTCAAGACGGCTACCGCTAACAATGGCAAGCGTCGTGCCGCACAGCAATATTACGTCGTTCTGGTCGACTTGTATGCTCAACCCGAAAATGGCGGCGAGCTCATTAGAATTGCCACGTCCACTTCAGCACCTCTGGTCGTTCGCGGTCGTAGTCCGGGACATTATGCCGACAACCACCACGATCGATACAATCCAATGGCCATTAATCCTGCCTTCTCGAACGATCGTCATCTTACGTTTCCCCATCCTCAAGGACCCAATGGAGCACCGGGTGTGATGTCTGGTGACTTTGGTGGAGGTCCATTCCCGCCGTACGGTCAGTATCCGCCATACAGTGGCTTTCCACCCGTAAATCCTCCAATGCGCAACGATGCACTATCTCTCATAATGACTACCAGCCCACAAAATCCCCCAAATCCTTCCTTCCACCCTCAACATCCCCATCAACCATACATGGTCCCGAGTATCTCTGAAGTTTCTCAACCTGAATCCAATGCCCCTGACATGTATAACAACCCCAATATAGACCCGAATTCGCTTGTGAACGGACACGACCAAAAGATGCCGCCTCATCACGGACATCACTCTCAGCAAGTTGGACTCGATATGCATAACATCGAAGGTGAGGCTCGAGCAAGTGAATAGGTGGATGTTTTGAATTGGGAAAAGTCAAAACGTAGAGTTAGGGATGATTGGAAAGTGTGTAGTAGTTATTGAGGCGAATGAAGATTTTTTGAAAAAAAGTTTATGTAATAAGTCGATTGTAATAGGTTTACGGAAATAAGGACAAGATAGGAATTGACATATATGCATTTTGCATACAATGTATAAGATATTGGTATTTGGGATAGAGAGTTGGTTATAGTCAATGGAAAAGAGAGATAATAGATGCAATAATAGTAAGTAGCATTAGCAATAGAAATGTAAATATTATAGCAGAAGTAATTAAGTGTACTGGTAAAATGCATATTAATATTGGTAGCCATATAACAAACATCAATATTTTTTTTATATTAATATCCATATAATATTAATAAATTGTTGGTCATTGATTTTTAATTCACTCTTATGCTCCAATCGTGTTTATATTAATATCATTTTATCTCCAAATCTTCCCTAGTCGCCGGAACCTCATCTCCTCACTCGGCATTCACGTCGTTTGAGTCACGTCAAGTGCAGACAACCGGTATGCACGTATATGACACCCTTCCGCAACAGAGATAATTTATCGTCGATTGCTTTTTGATTGTTCACTGACCTTGTCTTTTTCGCCCACTGATTCGCCCTGATACTGTCTTTATGTTTATTACTAACCTTTCCCAACCTTTCCTCTCCCCCTCTCCGTATTCCTCTCCCTCTCCGTATCTCCCTCACCCTACCCTCACCCTCACCCCCTCCCATCCACATTCACATTAAGATAACGAAGGCTATCATCAAATGTACCACAACCATCCTCCAAATAACGCACCACCAGCACATCACCCCGGATACCATCCCGAAAATCAAAATGGGTATCAAGCAAACGGTCGGGTATCGCCCTCCCAGCAAGCACGTAGAGACACATCAACGTCGACGGGAAGCGAACATGCATCAACCAGTCCACACACAGATTCAAAATTGGTTACTAACGCTAATAATAACAACTCGTGCAGTTCACCTCAATCATCCAATAGTTCTACAACAACACCAACTTCAGAAATCGGAAAGGGCATTGGTCAGATGAGAACGTGAAGATAAAAGTAAAAGAATGTGTATATAAATATATAATATATACGTCGGATGGGAAATGAGTGACGAAACCGAAGTGAAACCGATGGATGAAGCCGATGTTTGTGTAAAGAATATAAAACGAGAGTTTAAGTTTGGGGGGTTTTTTGTTTGGCTTTTTTTATGTGAGTGAGTGAGTGAGTGAGTGAAAGTCAGAGATAATTTGTAGGGTTGATGAGAGATGATAATACATTATCTCTGTGAATACTGATGTCCATTCTTTTTTCTTTCTCTTTTCTTGCTTTTAAAAGTGAGAATCAATTAACGTGCTTATTCTTTTTTATCACCTTTTAAGGTGTTAAGAATTATATTTTATATACATAACATAAATCATCTGGTCTTGACACTATGATGTCAACCATATTATTTTCCTGGGTGGGAGGAGAGATATCCTTCGTCTTTGATTCTAATTTGAAAGTACGAAGTGATAGTTATTCTCACTACCCTTCCCTTGTTGTGGCTCTTTTAAAAATTGTATACAGGTTTTAGAGTTTGATAAAATTGGTTTATTATTTTTTCTTTCCCCTCTTTCCCCTCTTTCCCCTCTTCCCCTTCTTTCCCCCTTCCTCTCCGGTTGAGGTTGTGCTTACTTAGAGATAGATATATAACAACAAAAAAAAGCACAAAGTTATCTTCTCAGAAGCATACGATGAAGTTTATTTGATTTTTGTTATAAGTTCCCTCTCCGTCTCTTTCCCTCCGTTCATACCTGCATCTCCTTCCAAAGATTCAAATCTATACAAAAAATACTTGCCTCCATACTTCTTTTTTGTACAACTTTGCATATACTTTATATATAATTTTCTTTTGTTTAATTTTGATTCTATATGTCTTTCGATTGCGCTTATCACAGGAATTAAAAATACTTTGTCGATTTCGCGTATATCATTCCGATGATGTAAATTGGAATTGGTTGAATGACTATACAAATACATACGATGATTGCTACAACTGTAAATTGTAAAAAAATATATATATTAATATATATGAAATATATTAAACCGAATTTTTTTTTCGATCACATGATTATTGTATTTAATAGAGTTTTGTGTGCCCATCCAATCGTATTTCACACCACCCACACGCTAAATAGAGAACAGAGTTTCCCTTTCTTAAGTTATACTCGCAAAAAGCCTAACACTCAACACTATATATTAGAGACTTTCGGTTTTAGTCACTGTTTTATCAAAAATGTACCCAACAGAAGCGACATCACCTCTCAACACGACTCCCTCTTCAGCAGCCTCACCAGACAACATCACACCAGACTCTGACTGCTTATTAAACCGTCCCTACTTCTCACGTAACGAAACAGAATATTACATGGCATTATCGCGTGGGAGTATTCCAAAGACCAAAGAGGCCGTGATCAGAATACAGTCTTGTAATTTTATTAGGGCCATGGGAGAGAAACTTGGGTTGTATGTAGGCAACTTTGAGGAATAAATGGGTTTTGTATTTTAAGCACTAGGATCACTGTTCAGTCGTTTTAAATTGTGACCATTCCATATACACTAAACTCTTAATGATACAATACATTATTGTTACTATGCCCGCTGGACTATGTCGTATATACATGCCGCCCCTATTTCCTATCACAGCCCTCAGAATACGATAACTACAGCAATGATGCTATATCATCGATTTTACTTGTTCCATCCATTAAAAGAGTATCCGTCAAATGTAAAGATCTATCACCTCAATGCTTCGTAACGTTGTATTCTCATTATATGCCTATATCTTATTAAATCATTCCTTATTCCTCCATAAACTACTCGATTTGCATTATTATAAACTAAAGGATATAAGCACGACGTGCGTATTCGTCGCATCAAAGATAGAGGAGACCTACAAAAAACTCAAAGATATACTGGTTGCAGCATATAATGTCCGCCATCCCCTAGGACCAGATATCAATCCAGACGGACAGGTAGAGCGACACACTCATCTCATCGGCTTGTACTTGTCACGTGCTCAATGTATTTACCAATAACGTACTGCACACTTAGACCCTTGAAGAGCAACGTCGTAGAATCATCGGATACGAGCGACTGGTGTTGGAAAATATTCGCTTTGATTTCCGAATACAGCAACCACACAAGTTCCTTGTGAAGTTTATTAAGAGATTAGGAGGTCGGTAATCATCATTGTAATGTAGTATGCATGAATAAAGAGTGGGTATATGTATAATGAGCTTTGTTGCACATCCAAGAGTCTAACTTTTTTTTTTGTTGTGCATCGCACGCTAGGTGACAAAACGTTGGCACGTAAAGCATGGGCAATTGTAAATGACGCCTACAAGACAACGGCATGTTTACGATTTCCTGCGCATGTGATGGCCGCAGCGTCTTTGTGGCTAGCAGCAAAACTATTGCACATGGACTTTCCACCAATAATGGCGGATGGAATGAAGTGGACCAAGCTTTTTTGTTGTAAAGCAGATGATATCGAAGGTGCGTAATTTATTGGGAGGTGGGAGGAGAGGGGAGGGAGGAAGAGAAGAGATGTCGATTTTTGATCTTGGATGGATATTGATTTCAGCATTCGTCTTCTATTGTATTTGCAACAGAGATCTGTCATGCTATACTAGACATATATATGGAGCCATCTGGAAATGCGGACGATCCAGCGAATGCCGAATTCATACGTATCAAGATAATATTAAATCAGCAAGCGGAAGCGAGGGGAGCAATAGCTTGCAAAGAACCATAAACCGTGTGTAGTTTGGATCTCAAGATTAAAAGTATGACAAATAGATGCACGATCCTTCAGGAGGGGGAGTTTAGAGGAAGAGGAAGAGGAAGGAACATTATAATTACAAGCTGATAGACGTCAAATGACTGGTATAGCCTTAATATTGGTTCCGCAACAAGGTAAAGCACAATAAAAGACATCACAATATGTGTTCTTGGAACACCCAGATCTCTTGACGACACAGTGCCACAGTTCGTTCTAATATTAATTAACTAAGACTCTTACTTTTAAGATGCAAATTAAGATCGAGTGAAGTCAGCAATATTATTATCCAAGAAAAAGATTGAGGGTTGGACGGCTTTTAAAGGCCGCGCGTTCTTTATTATTGTTAGACACACGATGCTGAACACCATTTTAAGGTGTTTCTTTTGGCTTTAGCAGTCGTCATAAGCAAGCAGTAATATAGTCTATGAGCTTTAGTCTTGCCAAACAGTGTGCAAAAGTTCTAGTTGGTACAGGCAATACAATAGAGTGCTGCACTGATGAGTATAATCTTATTTCACTCCGGTGCAATCTCTTTGACGCTGGCGTTAACACTAATTTCTTCATCGCATTATTATTCGATCGTTCGTTCTTTGTAGATAACAAGCTTGCATCAGCTTTTTCCCCATCCCCAAAGCAATGCATTTCAACCGCGCCTCTTGTTAAATGGTAATTTGGTTCTTTCGTCATAAAATTTTTAATTTAACTAGTGTGGGAGTCGACCATTATAAGTTATGCAACAAAGGGTATATTGTATACTAATGCGAAAATCCTTGCTCACACTTAATGGCAGAAATTGCGTCGTCTAACAATTTAATAGCAGAGTTCAGAGACTATTATGGAGTGTTTAGAGAAAGTGTCGACAGTCTTTTACCGGCTCCTAGTAGTGAAGAATAAACAATAGATTGGCTTAATATGGTAGTGTTGTATTGATATGAATATTAAGCTAGCATGGCTTATTTGGTCCCTGTCACAAGGTATTTTGTGTCCTTGAGGCGCGATCTCATCCACGCTTTGTGCTATGAGCTAAATCATTCACATAATTAGAAATAAACAGTTGCACCTTCCGATGTTTTACAAACTAACTAATATTGGCATAATGGTGCAAACCCAACACACCCAATGCAGCAGACGTTACTTGTTTGCAGTTTGTAGTTGAACGACTTGTTACTAACGTTGATGGCTTTTCTGGTATACAGTATAGTTTTTGCGAAGTTATTACAGGTACCGCCGATTATAATAATAATTGATTTGGAACGTTATCCAATTCAATTTGACCGCCATTCGCGTTAATTTTTTTGATTAAGATCGTTGACAATAGAACACAGTTTATTACGATTAAGTATTAGCAATAAATTCATTCGATGCTTAATACGTGATACTCGCAATATTTACGAGGTTGTACCAACCACCTACCTAACCGTCGCTGAGAAACCTCTCAGTATGGATAACATTGTATTAGGTTGATTAATGTATCTTAGCCAACGTGGAGTTTGGCGTTCATTTATTAGTTACACATGAAAAAACGCTAATGTGTTCTTGCACTGAAAAAGGACTCTTATGCTTCACGCTATGTTAAGCCGAGACGTTAGAGAATTTGCTCCAAGACAATATAGGAATGGAGTAACGGAGTAAGAATGCAACGCTATGCAAAACATCTTTACTCACGCCCTCTGCTAGTGTTAACATGTTTAAGATGCATCCAATTATACAAATAATGTGAAAGGTATGCAGTAAGGTTCAAGATTACTATCGGAAGGAATTGAAGGCCCACGGATGGAGAATCATTGCCTTAAGACAAATTCTGAGAATTGGTATTAATAGTACTTAAGATGCTGTACATCATATTTTATTGTTTAAAGTTGTTGTTTGCCATGGTCATTAAACACACGATGTAATCAAAGGTTTAGCAGTAATCATTAGCCTGGAAGTGAACTATCTTTTATATAAAATAGATAAATTCGTTCTTTGTTATAAGGAATCTTTGTTAAGTTTTTTGTTTGTAGAATGATTCAATTGCTACTGTTCTAACGGTAATAGCAAAGCTTGTATTCAATTAACGTTGAGAGACTACCAGACTTACGATCTTCTAACCTAACACACTTGTCTTTACAACTACGTCCGTCAATAAAGTTTTTATCCACCCGGATCCACACCTGCATACAACAACGACAATCTTGCTGTATTTGTTCGATGTCTCAGCTGAATAACTTGGTAAAAATCTGCTCTTGATAAGATAATGATAAAGAAAGCAGTAGACTTGATTCAAAGATTTAATGCAGTGATATCTTTCTGCATTTTGGTCGTTTACATCAGCTGTTACAAAGGGTCGACTCTATCAATCTACATTTTTTATTAATGCTGAGTGGATAAATAATTAGCGCATGATTCAGGTCTTTTCTTCTTAATAGTTTCAATTTATTTAATATCAATATATTAATAAATTGTTAGCGCTAAACATTTTGACTTGCAAAAAAGGACGAACTAATTGAGCCCGTAATTAGGCCAATTTGGTTTGTTTCTTTGAGCAGATCTTATGAAAGAACATCTGATTTCTAATTACTTCACATGAATATTTCTTTACGAGCTCGTATTACTATTCATATTACCTTAGTATAGTAGCATCACAACACGTTTGCAGAAAAGAAAATTTTTTGTGCTTGAAACCTTACCCCAGGCTTATGACGTCTTTATTGCTTCAGAGATATCAATCAGTTTGCTGTCTGCATGCATCAATGTAGGCTTTTAACAAATGAAACATACATTAGTACTAACAGTATTTACGATTAATAATGGAGTAGCATTTCGTTCACTTGTACATTCCAGCTTTTAATTAAAGTTTGCGGCGATGCAATGATTATTGTCCAACAAAAACAACATGCTTTTTTTCCCCTTTCGTGTAGATATCAAAGACTGCATTCAGACCTAAATATTCCAGCATAGTTTCACAGAACTTTTCGCATGAGCTAAGGGCTCAGCTTGCTGCATTGCAGGATCAGTTGGTTTTTTTTTTCGACTTTCTTTTTCCGGCAATTACACGTCTGCATTGTGGAAGAGCATTACGCCAATAAAGATGAACCTGCATTACAGTTGTAAACATTGACAAATTATATAGTCAAAAATTTTGCTACTAACGTACTGTTCACTCTTCTATGTACAATATATTGCTTATTAGACACGTTTCTTCAATCCAACCAGAGAGATGCCGCGAATTCGGAAATCTTATATAAAACACTTTGACAGCAAGAAAAGCCTGTATGCCATGGCTATCATACTGTTCGATAACATGTGATTGACTAATCCATTATTATTATACAAACCCTCCGCTAGACAAACTCATTAGAACTGTAGCAGGTGCTTTCACTTTTACTCAATGCTGGATTTTATGGATGTCGTTGTTGTCGTGTGGTTATCTCCTGCCATACTCTCGAAATAAATGTAATTTTATTCTTTTGATTGTCAGAAAGCCTCAAAGTCATCTATTCCAATCCTGCAGGCATTCGAAAGCGCATCAGCCCAGATCTCTTATCTTTACATTAATATTAATATGACCCTGTAATCTTAAATTACCTGATAGTAATACGAAATATCGTACTGGAATTGTGCTACGGCAAACATAAGGTGATGTGTGGTGCATATGACATTATATATGTCTTTTATCAGTAATTTACTAGTATTGAATGTACATACTGAGTTAGCATCATTAATATTGCAATTATTGTTATTATGTTATTATGATAATTCTCTATTCCTAATTAATACTAAGCTGACTACCAACCATATGCAAATCAAATAGTAAATCGACTGCTAAAAAAATACAAACTAATCGTCGCCGCAGTAAAGGGAGGCCAACGAAGTTCTATTTACTACCGCACAATGCAACAATCGTTACATCAACATGCATTTTTGACCTGCACAATTGGTTACTGGTATGCATTCTATGATTGGGCCCCGAACACGCGGCTGGTTTAATAATATTTGCATGCAAATGCAAAAAACTTGCTTGCCTTGTTTCGCAATATCGCCTATATTCTTTCATATTGTAGCAAAACGTCCCTCTCAGCCTTTGTTTCGTTAATTTCAACGCCCAAAGGCAAAAGAATTTAACATTCTGAAGCACTCTTCTTTTTCAAACAAGCAACAGCATAACGAATTAACTGAAAGCCATGCGGTTACCGAGCGTTATACGTCTCCCCTCCTTTGGCCATAGCAAGAAAAAGTCGAATGGCGAGCGTACCAGGAAAGTCGACGCAAGCTCGAGTATGACTGCCTCTTCCTCCTCTACTCGAAAGGTCCCACCTGACACCACTTCCGAGACGTCGCCAGATAGTGACGATACTGTTAATATCAATGATAACGCTGTCCCTGAGAAAATTGAACAGCAAGAAGAAGAAGAAGAAGAAGAAGACGTAAAGGTTGACCCACAAGACTTTTTTGAGAATGAAACTTGGAAGAAAAAGTCACTGAGATTGGAATTCAGTGATACGTCGTCGCTAGAACCAAAAAACTGGCTTAGCGATATTGAGATTTCTAGCGACAGTCGTATTGAGGGCGTTTCTGCCTACGAGTCTCCGAGTCCTACCTTCCGTCCTCTACACAGCACCGTCTTTGACCGTTTAGAACGTCTAGAAAGAGCGGCAACCGTTCATGTTCCTCCTACCACCCTGTCTTCTTCCAAGTCATTCGAGTCTTTTTCACCCGAAGCAGAACCCGTAATTCGCATCAAGTCTCGATATGGCTTGGGGCGTTATAATAGTATTGATAGTCCTCATTACGACACGCAGAGCGAAGGTGAAATGAATGAAACGGACTTGGAAAGAAAAAGACGACGAAGGAGGACATACCACATAGTGAATCTCAATGCAAATCCGTTCTTCCATGCTGCAGGCAAAGGAGCAAAGATGAGAGAATTATATCTTATGCAGCAAGAATTGGAAGAGTCAGAAAATCATAACAAGGCATAAATTGTTGATAAAATGATAACAATTTTGGATTACTAGAATAGATTTCATAAATTTACGGTGTGGGTTGGGGTGAGCAAATGACTTTATTTTCTTTTGGTGGTAAGTTATTTGCGCCATCTGTCTTTTCTCACCCGTTTACTGTTTAATTTTATTATCAGTTTACTGTATTATCATTGTTATTATTTATTATCGTATTATTTATTATCATATTATTACAATAGCAATTATTTGCTTTTGTTTGTCTCCTCTTGGTGCCGTCGATATTTAGTCGCTCTGATACTCTCGCTTAGATACAAAGTTCTATGTAGATTATTTGATGCTTGAATGGACAATCTTGGAATGAAAGGGATTGTGATAGTGGAATTGTAAATATCCGATTACATATTCGTTAAGTTAATTTCTTTATAGCACTGTGATTTTTATTCTTCTGATTATAATCTTTTGTATGTATATAACTGCATTCTCTTCAATAAGAACGTATAATATTCTTGTCTAGAGATTTTATATATTGTGTTTCATCAATACTCACTGTCCGTAATCGATGTTTTGGCTGCGCAATTGCTTAAACTAACGAAAAATTAGAAAATCGATTCGCAACATTAAATACAGCACCATCCATAATACTCGCCAACCCGTGATTTAGACATCAAGTGGGTACTATTATTATGCTCTTGAGCGAAGACGGAATTTATTTCAGGAATAATTGCTGGTCCCGTAATACCAGTGCTTGTTATATTTTAGGAGTATTTCCCCCTACGATTAAACTCGAATCTATTTGACTGCTGAAAATGACCATAATTATTGAACAACACATTGATCCATAATACATAAAGCCATTCTCCAATTCAGTAAGTAAAATCATATCAAATGACGCCTAATATACATGGGGTGCACATTTACATATTTTATGACTAATTATATCACATTGACATGTGTCTAATGACATCAACTTTCTATAACCAGCAGAAAGAATGAATTTTTGTAAAATGATAACTAATTACGAGCACCTGGTAATATTTCTATGTGACACGAGCGTCGATCAAACTGCGTAGTATTTTTGGATGCACAGAAAAACTCTGGCTTTCATAACATCAATATGACTGATAAACCATCTCCAACACAAGAACCCACGGATGACAATTTCCCGTTATACCACACAGCACGTATTCATGACGACGACGACGATGAGATACCAGCATATGCACGGGAAATGTATCGTATCGCACAAGATCACATTTGTCATTCTCGCAATTGACAAAAAACCCATCAACTCATTCGATAAATAGTTTGTCTTCGCAGACTCTTTCGGCATTGGAAGAATTTTTACAAGAGAAAAAGCAAGCAGAGGAAAATTTTGAGCGGCTCCGTAAACAGAATGAAAGTGGTGTGGATGACGTGTTAGAGGCGAGGGATAACCGATTAGATGAATTGGACGCTATAGGCGAGGACTGGCGAGTAGGTTGCCAACAGGATGGGGTTTATACAGTCTTTTTGTACTAAATTAGATTGTGAGTAGTAATCGCGATTATGTCTTTTTCTTTTTCTTTGAATGAAATTATGATAATGATTTTGCTAATACTGATATTATAGCTGAGCCAATTCTGGGTAAGTGATAACGTAGTAAGGCAGCATCATCAAGTTTGGTCATATACACTGAACAATAAAACATATTCAATCACTTTCCAGTATGAAGAGAATACTGTAAACACGATCGTTGAAGAAGTAGCAGACAACACGCCTCCGGGCGGAAGAATTGCATGTATAAGTACGCCAACCATATTTATTGGATTAAAGGTAAAAATATCTCAAAGACATTGACTGATCTTGCAAATTTAAATAATTTTCACGACAAGATTCATTCTTATAGGCGTGCTTTTGTCTGTCAAGCCCTTCCGTCTAACCCCCTGTCAAAAATTTGATTCTTTCCTTTCATCTTTACCTTTCATTGTGATCACATTTTTAATTTTCCGTTTTCCTTCTCCAGCGCAAATGCCCATCCCAATCCCTTTACCTCTTTGAATATGACACGCGGTTTTCTATGTATGGTACAGATTTCATCCACTACAACTACAACGAGCCGCAAGAATTCAGGGACAAACTTTCTCTTCGCGGTACTGTGGATTACATTGTAGTCGACCCGCCTTTTTTGAGTGTTGAATGTTTGGCAAAGACAATGCTGACCGTGGACTTGTTGAAAAAAGAGAGCGGATGTAAGATAATGGTTTGTACCGGTAAGTTTTATAAAGTTTATCAACCAGTTTAGAGATTCATGGATCATGAGTTGCAAATTCTCACTATCCCAAATACCATCTATTGGCTCTAGGTGCGACTATGAGTGATATTGTGTATAGATTGTGTAAAGCTCGCAGGACTGTATTCGAACCTAAACACAAAGGGAATCGATTGAAGAACGAGTTTAGGTGTCATTTAAATTATAAGAGTGAAAAGTTACATTGGGATGAAAGTCAAACGTTTTATTAAAGATTGAAATGAAAATAGTGAATGTAATGATAGGAATTATAATCACCATTTGCTGACAAAACATTAAAACATACCTTTACCTTGCAAATTTGTCATCATCATCGCCGGAATACACCCAATTTTTACAAGGAAATTCCACCGGGACGTCAAGCACGTGAGTGGCCGGTTATAAAAATGTTCTGAAAAATTTTCATTTATTCTTCCTATTTGCCTGCCAAGACGAACTTTTGCTCACCACCGAGACAGGTACCGTTGCCGATCAACTGGGAAACGACGAAGTCTTGATGTCTTTTCCTACTGCTACATTGATTAATGTATGTTTGTTGTTTGAAGTTCGAGTAGGTTTAGATTAGAAAATGGGTCGCGTTATTCGTTCTCAGAGAAAGGGTCCTGGTGGGATATTTAAAGCCCACACCAGACTTCGTAAAGGTGCCGCTAAACTAAGACCGCTGGATTACGCAGAAAGGAACGGCTATATTCGTGGTATTGTTAAGGAAATAATTCATGACCCTGGCCGTGGTGCACCTCTCGCAAAGGTCCAGTTCCGAGATCCTTATCGGTAATATATATTTGTTACTTTGGTCGAGAGAAAAAAATATATTTGTAATGAATCTAAACTGAATTATGTGGCATGGTAATTGATATGAGGATATATGCAGTTATCAACTGGGCACATGAATCCGCCGTGATTTGATTGCATTATAATGTAGATGTAGCGACAAGACACTCACAAATCAACTATTTTCAACAGTTACAAAAAACGCAGCCAGACGTTCATTGCAACAGAAGGTCTTCACACTGGCCAATTCATCTACTGTGGTAAGAAGGCGACACTGACTGTTGGCAATGTGTTGCCTCTTTCAGCTATGCCTGAAGGTACCATCATATGCAATGTTGAAGAGAAAATTGGTGATCGCGGAGCACTAGCAAGATCATCCGGGGATTACGCTACAATTATTGGGCACAACCACGAAGAAGGAAAAACTCGCATCAAGTTACCATCGGGCGCAAAGAAAGCAGTCAATTCCAGTACCCGTGCCACTATTGGCATTGTAGCTGGCGGTGGACGTATCGACAAGCCTATGCTCAAGGCTGGCCGTGCTTATCACAAGTATAAGGTCAAGAGAAATTGCTGGCCAAAGACACGTGGTGTGGCAATGAATCCTGTGGACCATCCTCACGGTGGTGGTAACCATCAGCATATTGGTCATGCATCTACAGTTTCAAGAGAGAGTGCTCCTGGTCAGAAGGTGATCTATCCTGCCATTCATTACAGTTCTTTGAATTTTATTGTTCTGACACAGGTTAACATCAATATTGCTTGTGATGCAGGTTGGTTTGATCGCTGCCAGAAGAAGTGGTCTACTCCGTGGTACAAACAAAGTCAAAAACGCATAAACCAGAAGAAACTAGTTATTCCAAAGCAAACCTTACTAATAAAGCAGGCCAATCGTTTGTTGGCAATATACAACAATTTTGTTTATTTTATTTTATTTTATTTTACGCAGATCTCGAGCAAAATGTCTTAATAATAGTTGCCATTGTTGATGTTTTGCACTTATTTAACAAATTGACTGATTATCTCCACAATGAGTGTCGTTTTTATGGAATAAATAAGTGTTTGACAATACACATCCGTTCACTGTCACGCCATTAATATATAACTCGAAAAAGTCTATTCAGGATCCGATAGTACGCAAAATGCCCATCACATGTTCTCGCCTCATCATATCTTGATTACGATATGTAGAGTGTATTTATTAATTGTATGTCATGTAACGAGGTGTAGATGAGAATTTTCCATATGACTATGGGATAGAAACAGAATCGCTGTTAGCATAAATTAAGCCATGAATAATGAAATTATATAATGTAATCTGTTGTATACCTTTATAACTTTGTTGACTGCTTCCAAGAAATCTTTTTCGGTTGCGACCTACACGATCATAAATGCAAATTAATACATCAGCAGATATTCAATACTAGTCAACAAACTCAGCGAATCTTCGCTACAATTAAGCGATCGTGTAATTCACCACAACACGCAATATTATTACCTTTCTTCTGGATCGAATGGCAAACATTCCGGCCTCTGTACACACACTACGCAAGTCGGCACCTAATCATAGACAATTAAAGAACATAATCAATTAACTGAGGCGAGATTAATTTACACGAAATACTTGGATAATTACCTGTACTATTAGGGCATAATCGAGCGATTAGCTCATATCGGATATCACGCTCAACAGACATACTATAAGAAGCAGAATCGAAAAAAGAACGTAGAAAGTGCATTTTAGTACAGCAAAAACATATAACGTCAAAAGCATATAACATTAATATAGCATTCTGGTCCAACAACTCGTACCTCTTTGCGTGAATTTTGAGAATATGTGATCGTCCCTACAGCGTTCATCTCACTATTAGATAAATATCACTAACAGAAGATATTTCAGACAATCATCCAACTCACCTCCAAGTCAGGCAGAGAAAATTCAACTTTTCGGTCGAGACGCCCAGGACGCATCAGGGCAGGATCCAATGTATCGGGCCTGTTTGAACAAGAAAACGAATAGTCAATAAAAAATCGACTCTTATATTGTCTGCCGTAGTTCCGATAATTTCCATCACATTTTGGCCATACCGATTAGTAGCCATAAGCACTTTAATGTTTCCTCTGGGATCAAATCCATCTAATTGATTAATCAATTCTAACATTGTTCTTTGTACTTCATTATCACCTCCTGCTCCGTCATCGTAACGAGCACCTAATATGCAGAATACAGAGCATCCATCAAGTTCTAATTATGCTTCGTTTATCATGACGAATTAACCACACGTTCTCAATACGAATCATCTACCTCCAATAGCATCTATTTCATCAAAGAAAATAATGCATGCCTTCTTTGTTCTCGCCATCTCGAACAGTTCACGCACCATACGCGCCCCTTCTCCAACATATCTGTACAAAAAAAAAAGGCAGTAGCGATAAAAAAAGATATAGATTAATATAATAATAAGACAATGTTAGTGATCAATAACGAAACTCTATCATATCAAAATTCTCGTACTTTTGCACTAGCTCAGATCCTATTACTCTGATAAATGTTGCATCAGTCCTATTTGCAACAGCACGAGCACAGAGAGTTTTTCCCGTGCCGGGTGGTCCGTATAAGAGTACCCCCTTCGGAGGATCGATTCCGAGATGAACAAATCTTTCTGGCTATAGAGATAAATAAACAAGTGAATGAATGAATGAATCATCGGGACTATTACGCCAGGCAAAAATAAAGATGGGGAAAGGAAACGTTGCCATAAATTCCATACACAAAACGCTAACATATAGATACTACTTTGGAACTAATTGGTATCATTATCATTCAACCATTGGCTTACCTGAAGTAAAGGCAACTCTACAACTTCTCTTAATTTTTCAATTTGCTCTTTACATCCACCAACATCACTATACGTAACATCAGGTTTCTCTTCAACCTGCATCATTGTCACGGAAGGATCGATTTTTGGAGGTAGAGGAATCTGTATCTGGTACTTATTCCGGTCCACACTGGTAAATCATTATAGTTTATTAATGAGTCTTACGTCGTATTAAACCACAATAGCATCTCGTTGAAAATATCAAACTCACCCAACTCGCATACCCTCTTCAATATCCGTTGGTGACACGCGTTCACCCAGTGCAACCACAAACTTTGCAATTTGCTTCACATTGATAATGTATTTCGCACCCTCGCCAACTCCTCCTTGGATAATTTTCGTGCATCTAGCTACTTGCAGTGGTTGTTCTTCTTGCATGCGTTGTTTGTCTGCTGGAATATCCCAGAGATTCGGTGGCGCTAAGCCAGTATCTGACTCCTTTACACCTGAATGATGAAGATGATAAAAAAATACATATTACGATGACGTGGAGGGAGATGCAGAAGAGCGGTGAGTGAGTGAAAAAATAGCAAAGGGTTTTTTCAATAGAGAAAGGGGTGAAGCAACGGTATGAACGCTATCATAATTGTCATAAAACTGTTTATCATTCTTACCAATTTTTTCATTGATTTTCTTTTGAATCTCTTTGATGTCTGTTTCGATCGACTTAAGTTCTTTTGCGTACGGACCTTGACCCTGCATTCACGGATTCGATTAGCCACGTTTCTAGAATCAGACGCAATGGAATTCAATTACTTACATAAGTCTTCAATAAAGCAATATCTCCTTCGTCAAGGGCTTTTATCATCAATTAAAAATGAATATGTCAGATCAAAGTTCTTTCTTCCTTATCTGATTCAATGTGAATTACATCTACTATTATACAACACGTTTTACATATAGCGCTCACTTATTCATACCAACAATCTTTTCATCCTCAGCATCCTCCTGCGACTTGTCGTCTACAAAATGTACGAATCGATTGATACGGTTACTAGCGTGAGAAGAAGTTTACTGTATTTTAAGCCAATTTATTACTGACATTTTTCCCAGCTTTCCTTTGGCGGCATCGTTCTGTGTTTTTTGGATTATTTTGCTTTGAAATATGAAAGACTTTCTATTAAATTTGATGGTGAAGTTTACGTCAGCATCCGTATTACGTGTTGCCCGATTGGATGTATGGCAAAAATCTTGGGATAGGCCATAGGCCAGTTTTCTCTGTCATGTGTTCAAGATATGTCCACAAGGTAATAAAAATCGAGAGCAGTTCAAGTAAATAATTCAACTTGTCAAAAGAATTTTCCTGAGCATGCTGAATCCTTCGATTATGCGATCAAACTTGTTATACAGTGGAACGATTAAATATTTCTGAAGACAAACTAATCAACTACTACGAAGCTTAATTATGTACACTATAATTTTTAATTTCCACAAATACAATCCTTATCAGCATTTTCTTGCTATCTAAATATACTTGTATAACCTCGACTGTTCGATTAATTCTTTGTAAAGAACGGTGTTAACATAGCTTGTAACAATGGTTTGATTAAAGTTATGAATTGCATGCAGTGGATGGAAATTTCGAGACTTAACGTCAAGGTTAGACTTTAAGGTAAAACTGAAAATTTGGACAATGGCATGCTTTTATATGAATATGAAAGTTGCAACTTGAACTCGGAAATGTCCAACTCGCTTCAAACATGAAAAGTTTGTCGTTATGTTGTTAAGAGGTAACCGGGATGTAATAGGAATTTTTTACCTTACGGTAGAGAATGCAAGAGATTCACGCATATGTGATGATAGTCTAACACGTCCAACAAGTCAAAACTCTAGTAAAACAAAAAACCGACTCTTGCCGGCTTGTAGAGAATCGATAAATCTGCTCTTCAAAGTTATCACTCGTATTGTTCGTAAATTGACGCCATTTGACTAACGAAGAGGCGAGTAATGTTGAAATACAAAATTCTCTTTTTGAATTCCAACTAGCAAGAGTAGTTTTCTTGGCTGTTAAGGTAGAAGGCGAAGATAGTTAATTTGCCTTTTAATTTTGTAAATTATTAATCTTTCGATTACGGACTGTGTATATTCTATCATACAAACAAAAGAAGCGCTTAGGTTTCGCTCACTCTTTCCCCCTCCCCTCCCCCTCTCCCCCCCAGAACATAATGACATATATGGGCAAACAAACATGTGAAAATGTAAAACAGACAATAAACGTTCAAATGTAATCAATGATCAGTCAATTAGCTGAGAACTGCAACTCATCTTCGAGAGCGTCAAAAATTGAATAATGCCCGAATGCTTGCAGGCCGAATTCTAATAATAGCACTGCCATTCCCACGGTTGGTTTGTTCTACGTTCCCTTTGTCAAGATAATGGGCAGCAGACAAGAACCTGCAGAAAAGGGTCTCACAAAAATACATACAATTGTACACATTGAAGTTGAACATTTTACAAACACACTCAAAGGTTCACGCCTATGTGAATTTATGAATTGTAATCTATAAATGGCATTCAATTACTTGTCCAAAGAAATTGACAGAACGATGCATCACTTTTAGCACTTTTATATTCAAGATGATAAGCATCATGCGAGTTTATGAAAACATTATCCGCTGAACTGTCACTTCAGCGCCTCATTTGGATGCATGTGTTCCCGTATTTTTCCAAACGAAGAAATAGTATCAAGGTGTGATGGCAATAACAGACAAACAAATACTTTACCATCAATAATGAATATAATTTTAAATATCACGAATCAAATTCCATTCAATGCGACATCTCGAACACTAATTTGATTTGATAGGCGACAATGAGCGGATCCATTTAGTAACCAGAGATATATTGCTTTCTTTATCTTCTTAAAGCCATTTAATGCTCATTCATGGTGACGACAGCAATGCCAAAAAGAGTCACATAATTACTATCTTTTCAGTTTTGAATTTCGTCGGCTTCCCCTTTATCCACCGCCAAATTTGACTAGTAACACCCCCATTGCAGCAGAATAAACATATCTTGACATCAATTAAAATATTCTCCATTCAGTCGTTTCGCTGCTACATAACACTGCTTGTCCTCTTTTCCTCCAAGTCCGCCCGACATTCTGTCCTCTAATTCCTAACAACGGCATTGCAGCGAAGAGCCTCAGCTTCGGGGCGAGGTCCCCTCCCGCGTACCCCCAATCCCCCAGCAACCTCTCATGTACGACCCCAGCTATACTCTCCAGAAAGTTGGCAATACCAAGTAGCGGAGAACCTTCTTAGGGCCAGCCGCACAAGCTATGGATCGTCTTCTACAGACACTTACGGCGCTTCCTCAGCTACTCCTAAACACGCCGCTAGACTAGACTCCCGCACCTCCACACCCATTTCACAGAAGAATGCTGAAGGATCAAGCACACAAACTCCAGCGTCAACCGTAACTCCGGCAACTCCGGTAACTCCAACAGATCCGCATGGAGGGACTATACAAGAGCATGTGGCTATACGCATTCAAGAAGACGAGAATAAAAGTCGGGGTGGCAGTGTTCCTCGACAGAAGAGTAAAAGACTTTCGCGCAGTTTATCACATGGATCTTGGCCCGGTTGGACTTCATTATATTATTCGAAATTTGACAATGCGAAAGATACGCCTACCACTTCTCAAGGAAGCTCTAGTGGCGATAAAAATAAAGATACCAAAACTACAAAAGACAAATCCAATGCGGACGCAGATACCACAAGCACTACACAACCAATTCAAGGTAGCAGCACACAGAAAATCTCTTCCGCCGACCCCCAACCTCTCTCTCCTTCAGTATCGCTAACCCAACGCTCAAGCCGAGATGTTCAACCTCCCTTACCAGTTCAACCGAAACGTCCTTCTCCATCGTCATCCATAGATGTCGAGCCTACACGGGGCTGGAGTCCATATGTGCGTGACCCAGTAGTATTATGTCCAATCGGGTCGATTCTCTTTCTATTTGGATTCCTATTCCCACCGCTATGGTGGATTGGATCTTTTTATCCTCGACGTCCGCGGACAAGTGCACATGAACGATGGCAGATGTATAATAGATTAATGTCTGTAATATCGTCATTTATAATTGCGGGAGTTTTGGGAATTGCTATCTGGTATTTGACTCATAAACCCAAAAATGATGTTTGAACGTATGGGCCAGAAGAGAGGTTGATCTAAAGTAAAAGAAAGAAAGAAAAAAAAAAGTAAAATAACATAGATGTCGAACGCCCTACACAATACTTACTATTTGTATCATTTCCCGTTTCTTTTTCTTTCCTGTACTATTATTCATATTAACTTTAATTTCCATTAATTCTAAACTGTCCCTCGCCTTTTTTTTTTCGTGTACATAATTGACTATTTCTCATGAATTATATAGAATATTTTGATTTTAATACAATTACAATTTTGATCACGGCCGCTCGTTAAGCCCGTGTAATATTCACTTTAAAAATGTAAACGAAGTTTTCGATAACGATCATGTAATCTTGTTGTAAAGATGTGTGCTGGCGGGAAATTTTATTTCGGTAACAATAAAATGCTGTCAGAGACCTTGCGGTTTGACAACAATTTTCTTTACCAAAATTCGAGTGTGACTTACTTTGATACCATATGTGAGAGAAAGAACCAATGGGGAAGTCTTGTGGCGAGCCTGAACAATAGCAGATTGCTCACTCTCCTCTGATGCAATATCCCAGTCAACGCATCATAATACCGTTCTTATCGACTATTTGCACAAATGTGTCATGTTTAACTCTTTTGTTCGTAGACTTTGCTTATTAGTGCAGAACACTCATACCTGTCCTGTGACTGTCGAGTCCAATCTGGTATAAGTCATGGTGGGGTTGTATTGCATGCCACCGTTGCCATCCGTCCATATTGAGCAACTCTTAGCTTTATGACATAGCCAGATTTCGACAATTCTTGTATTCATATCCAGTAATCAATACAATTGATAGAGCAAGGTTTTCTTTTCAAGTCTGCGAAGTCATATATGTACCATGGTTCTGCGTACTTCAGACACCGCGGAAAGATGCATCCATGCCATACGGTACGGCCTGCCTTTCCGATCGCTATATTATAATTGACGTTGTCTGTATTGGTTGATCTCGATTACTATTACCAAAAAAATCGCTCCAAGTCCATACCATTTGGTTCAAAGCAAAACGAACTCGAACTACAAAAGACATTTTAGATAACGTCGATACAGTCTGCCAAAAGCGGAGATCAGACGGTTATCGTGGACAGAGAAACTTGGGAGCAATCAAGAGACATGTACAGGTATACTTGCTTAGAGTTCAAGGAATTGTCTATTACTATCTAGCCTAATAATTACGACACTTTCTGTATGATGATCATATGATCATAGTTTCGGCATTTTAATATTACGTCCTTTGTGAAGTAGCTAGGGAAATGATCGGCTTGGAATTAAGGGTCAAACACCACGAGATCTTTTGTCTCACCATAAATCGTCATCATAGAGAACGCCTGTTCAACCAAAAAAATGGAGTTTTTGTATAGTATTATTTCTTGTTATACGATGAGTTAAGCTAAATTCTAGTCTCGTGATATATTGATGGGAGAAAAGCTTTAAAACAGGCAGTGCAGTAGTAATAATAATAATAAGGCTTCTTTGTAGACCTCTCGGGCACAAAGTAAATCAATGACTGATTATGGCAATACGTCACATATTGACATAGAGCACCTTTTATGGAATTTTTCATTTAGTCTACCACATTTTGGTCAATATCATACCTTAAACGGGAAAGGCTGGTTTCGCGAAAGTCCCTGCTAAACTTAATCGAATAACTGTTACAGTTGTTGAAAGGAATATATATACGCCGTGCGAACTATGCGTCCATATTACTTAAAGAAAAGCACCTATGAAACAGTCAGATTGGCCTGTTATTGTGGTATTGATATTAGCAGTAATTTCTTCACATACTGCTGACGCCTCGTATGCCCTTCCATCAGCTGATATCCCAGGAATACCACCAGACAATTCCAACATAACCAACGTAGAGTATTGCAAGCTACTAGCATATTCTTTATATTTCTACGAAGCCCAGAGAAGTGGCAAGTTACCAAGTAATAACAGAGTCTCTTGGAGGCATGACTCGGCACTAAAGGATGGTGACGACGTTGGCGTGGATTTGACCGGAGGTTATTATGATGCTGGAGATCACATCAAATTTACCTTTCCATTATCGTGGAGTCTAACCTCTGTGTCATGGGGAGCGCTAGAATGGTTTCAGGGCTACAAAGCTGCTAATCAGACTGAATATCTGAGAGCTATGCTCCAGTGGGGAACGGACTGGCTGATGAAAGCTCATCCTGAGAAAAATGTGTTGTACGCTCAAGTGGGGAAAGGCGATATTGATCATAATTATTGGGGTCCTGATACTGGGTAAGGCGATTCAACGCGTTGATATAGAGATTATATGTACAGATCTCGGTATGTTATTGCCGACTCTAACCAGAACCACGTCGTAAATTCTATAGCATTCCCTATCCGCGCCCAGCCTCCTCCGTCGATTCAAATACACATGGAACCGATGCTGCTTCTTCTGCTGCGGCTGCATTGGCCGCGGCATCTGTAGTTTTTCGTCAAATATATAATGATACCTCGTATGCAAATTTACTTGTATCTCATGCGATAGATCTCTATGCATTTGCAGAACTACAACCATTTGCAAAATATTCAGACTCGATTCCCGATTCCAAAGAGTTTTATGGTTCCAGTCGATTTAATGATGATTTAGTCTGGGGAGCACTCTGGTTGTATAATGCTACTGGCAACACGACGTACTTTGCGAAAGCCACAGATTACATCAACCAATTCTCATTGATAGGGTCAGAAGAGGTCATTAATTGGGATGATAAGATGGGAGCTGCTTTCATCCTTTTAGTTAAGTTTGCACAGCAAGCGGGACAGGACCCCGCAAAATGGCAGCAGGTGACCGAAAATTACTTGGATGCAATGATAACAAGCAACTGCTACTTAACTAAGGGTCATCTCCTTTACTGCGATGGAGACAGTGATGAAGCGTCACTTAATCCGGCACTCAACTTTGCATTCGCATGCCTTGTATATGCTCCTCTGGCAAGTTCATCGGCTAAAGCACAAAGTTACAAAAACTTTGCTTTCTCGCAGATTGACTACACCCTTGGGAAAAATCCGATGAAGACACCCTATGTGGTTGGAGTGCACCCAAATTCACCTCGGAATCCACACCATTCTGGTGCACATGGGGGAACTGACATTACTAAACCAAAGAATAACTTGTACGTAATTTACGGGGCTATTGTTGGGGGACCAGATAAGAAGGATAAGTTCTTGGATGACAGGCAGAATTACATACAATCCGAGGTAAGCATGGGGGAATAAATGATATGAATTTACGTGAGAATTAACTCCGTCGTAACGATTTATTGTTTAGTCGCATATGCTTTATATAATCATTATGTGCGTTTGTATCTTCTATAGTTTTAACTCGTATCTACATAAATTTAGGTGGCTTTGGATTATAACGCACCTTTCCAAGGTATAATGGCTTATCAGGTTGTTAATGCTCAGTCACCACCCTTCTATGTCAATGTTCCGCCTGGCAGACCAAAGAATAAGATTGGACTTATCATTGGCCTCGTTGTTGGGGCAATAGTTTTCTGTGTAGCTTGTTTGTGTATATGGAAGCGGAAAAAAATAAGGGCATTCTTGAAGAGCGATTATAAACATATTCATCTTAAACAAATCTCACCGGGTGGTGAAATGCAGGAGGGAATTTAAAGTAGTGAATTTATAGTTTATTGATAATTCTGCAAAGTACGGAACTTGTTTTATTTATTATTATGGTGCCAAACGGCTAAAGTGTAAAGGAATTTTATTTGATCATGTAAAATTACGTACCATAATTTAATAGCTTTGTAATGTGGGTTAAAAAGGCTGATGTGGCTGAAAAATTAACCAAGTGATGACAGTCAGTTTTGCTTTAGTGGCACAGCTGTGGCTCAGACATAAATTAGATCTTGTTATGGAAAATATGACTGAAACTTAAAAATATAACATAAAACCAATTTACATTAAATCCACTATTAGTAAGGGTTGTCTTATGATCAAGCATTATGAAACAGTTTCCATATAATAAGCCTTCGTCCTGAAGTCCTCAGTTGCAGTTTCCATATTAATATGGGGCATGCTGCAACAAAAGTGAACATTCTGTTTTGTGACATAAATGAGAGGCTGATGTGACTAAAAAATCAATGTGACATTTGGAAAGGGTTTGCTTTAGTGGGCTGGAGAAAAGTGCTGTACCGATTATTGTGCGGGCGTTGAGAATGGGTGCTGTGTGGATATGGATGGAACATGTTGCGGAGATTCGGAGTGTTGTCTTGCATCTCAAGAATGTTGTGGTAGTAGTAGTACGTGTTGTGATCCTGGCACATGTTGGACTTTGTATATTTGGTTGGTGCCCTTAACCGGTAAGCATTTATATCTTTATCTAATTTGCATATTATTCTAAGCAGAAATATGTCAATTACAAATTCCAAACTGACATAGTGGGTTAGCCCATATCCGGTCGAACAAAGAGTAAGCTCGACATGATGCACAATTAGTTTACGCTAAGAAATAGTAAATTGGGAAACACTACGCAAGTCAATATGTACATTGTTATAAACATGTATGCCATTTTTCATATCATTGACTTGCTCTATATTAGATTTATATTTGTTAAAATTGCCAAGTAATTATGGGGGGTTAGATATCGGTAGTGTTACAAACATAGGGGAAGCCTCATATGAAAATCCATAAACGAAGTTTTTTTCTG